ATTATGTACACAAAACACCTTTAATATATTGTAATAGTTCTGTGGTAGCTCTCATTGGCTGTTGTGGGAGGTGCATCATGGGAACAGGGATTATGCTGGAGTTTTGCTCATTATGTGTGCATGTTCTGGGCTTGCAGGTGAAAGAGCAAGCTGCACATGTTCTTGTGTGTGTTGTGTTGTATGAGCAAGCTGATGATGGATGTCCAGACTCACCATGGATGTAACAGGTATGGCAAATGATAACTCGGTGGGTCTGGCTTCTATTATCATGCTTGCTCACAGGTTTATGCTTGTGTGCATCCTAGTCTCTAGGGGGTGCACTGGTAACAGGTTGGCCTTTTTAAAGGCTGGTAAAAACAAACAATAAAACTGGCCGGTTCCATTACTGGTTCAAGGAGCATAACTTGTGTGCGAGTGTGTCATTAGCGGCTCTCTCCCTCAAGAGAACTGTTACACTGGTATCAGAAGTGGGATGGATATCACCATGCTCCAGGAGGTTGAGCGGCTGATTGGATGGCTGGAGGGAGACTGTAAGAAGACCCGGGAAAGACTTGACAAGCCGGCGGGAAGCAGCGCCCCCAGACGGAAGCGGCAGGCAAGCGCATGTTAGCGAATGGGGTTATCGAGCCATCAAATAGCCCGTGGTTGGCACCAGTAGTCTTGGTGAGGAAAAAGGACGGGGGGTGGCAGTTCTGCGTCGATTATCGGCGGCTCAACGGGGTGACGCGTAAAGACTCGTACCCACTTCCGCGCATCGACGAAGCACTGGACCGAGTCTCCGGGTCCGCATGGTTCAGTTCGCTAGACCTGCGCAATGGTTATTGGCAGGTGGCGCTGGCCCCGGAGGCTCGGCCCAAAACGGCGTTCTCGATTGGCCAAGGTCTGTGGCAATTCCGAGTCATGCCGTTCGAGCTCTGTAATGCCCCAGCCACCTTCGAACGCTTGATGGAGCGCGTGCGATAAGGCATTCCCCCATCACGCTGCGTCGTCTACCTCGATGACCTATTGGTGCACGCAAAAACTTTCGACGCTGAACTAGCACACCTGAGTGAAGTCTTCGAAGCCATACGGCGAGCGAAGCTGAAATTACACCCGCGTAAGTGTCACCTGTTTCGGCGTGAGGTGACCTTCCTGGGTCACATCGTGAGTGGAAAAGGGGTAGCGACTGACCCAGCGAAGGTTAGCGCGGTGAAGGAGTGGCCTGCGCCCAACAACATTCGGCAGCTACGGAGCTTCATGGGGCTAGCCTCGTATTACAGGCGGTTTGTACGGGACTTTGCCACAATAGCGAGCCCACTACATCAAAAAGGGGCTGTGTTTGCGTGGGGTGAAGACTGCGAGCGTGCATTTTCCACCTTGCGTTCCGCATTAGTCACGGCACCCATTTTGGGACACCCAGACGCCACTCGGCCATTCGTGCTCGACACCGATGCGAGCAACGTAGGCATTGGAGCCGTTACAAGACTGCGAGATAGCTGAATTTGACCGCACGCGGTTGAGCGAAGAGCAAGGGAAAGATCC